AAGACATAATTTTGATCTATGTGTTATAAAACAATTCAGAATTAAAGATTCATAGTTTATAATTTTTGTTTTCATGTCACATACGAGTATCATAGATGTATTAATGATTTTGTACTTCTATCTAAGATGATTGCCCCAACTCGACTTGAGTTTGACATTATGGACTCAGAAGGACTTGAGTACCATCGGTGGATTATTTATGGAGTAACCATTCTTATGGCAAAAGACACTTTATCATGATCATTCAAACCGGAACTCGGAAGATGATGCACCGTTTGAAATGATGAAAGTTGACGTTTTTATATTTCTTAGATGCCAACGACCCAATTCAATAATGGAATCTCAAAAGAGAGCACAACTTACATAAAGAAGCGAAGTGTGATACAATAATGTATAGAGAAATTGATAAAATAGTCTCTATTTTTTTAGTGAAATAAATTTCACTTCTTTCACTGCAAAGTATGAGATGCTTTATTGGCATATCTTTTGCCTACACACATACATAGTATTTTTCTTTGTGAAAAGTGAATCACAAATTGACATTTCGTTTATTATTATTCTTTAATTTATATTGCTAAACGAAGTGTATAATGAATTATGTTGACCAATATCTTTCACTATGTTGGTAGTAAATAATTTACTTCGCCATGTTATTTGATGGTAAATAAAAAAAAATTGGGACAAGGAAATCTTCCAAGAGCTATTTGGACAAACGAATGTCCATATAGAATATGAAAATGTCAATTTTGAAGTAAATCCTTAGAAGATTTTGGAGTAAAATTTGATATAATTGTATAAGGATCTAATTGAAAAATACACTTTTAGTGTTAATCATCAAAAAATCTCTAAAGCACAAGAAACACATTGATGGATTAAATATAAATTTGATTTATAGTTGTCAGCTACTATGAGAATATAGAGCTTATGTAACTGGACTTATCATTTATTTTCCAAAACTCTTTCAAGAGTATTATTCAAACATATGAACTTTGGTCTTTCAAGACCTTCTATTTAGAGTTTTATTTTGAGTCTTAAAGTTTGGTATACGTTATGTATATTCATTTGAGATTTTAAATGGATTTAACATGTCATTGTTTTATCTCAAATTATATTTGAGGCATTTATGCATTTGGATTCTTTAGATCCATATTTGTGAAATTTGTTCAAAACAGAGTGGATATAAAGAAACATATTCATGAATTAGTAAAATATATGTACCTCTCTCTACGTGAGGTCATAGCACTCTAAAGTATATGAGTGACATTTACAAACTATTACAATCTATAATAAATAAGTGATTTAACTAATTGTGTCATACACAATAAATTAAAGAATGTTTATTTATTGAGGTAATTCCTTACTACGATCAATTAAGGGCGATGAATTGCCTAAATATTTAATTTCTAAATGAATAGAATTATATTCTCCTTGACCCCTAAATGCATCTAGAAGTCGTCAAAGTTTACAATGTTTTAAATTTGTTCACCACAATGAGTTTTATATAGATGGAATCATGTCATGGGTTCAATCCTTGTGAGCGGTCTCTTGTCAAAGTGACAAGAAAAACTTACCCCTTATACACCCTTTTGAAGGGATGTTTTCTAAACTCTCATACTGCGGGAATTTCAATGTTTACGGGGGGCTACCCTTAATGGGTTTTCACATAGAAGCTCGCTATTAAATGAGATAGAAAATACTATGTTACATGTGGATCGTTGCGCTTATCGCTACACTAAAAGCAATCACTGATAGTGTTGCACGCTCCCCCCCCCCCCTTTATAGCACAAGCGAAGCGCCACGCGATTCGATTGCACCGGCAGGCTGGCAGATTGCTGGCACCGCATACCCGCGGCCCAACATTTGTTATGCTTTTATTACCTCAAATCAAGTGATCCTAAATCACAGAGTACAGTTATATTAAATCAATCCATAAAAAAGAGACTTACCCTCTAAGTAATCACTATATTGAGAAGGGATAGAAAATGACAGATTATGCTTGCACATTTATAATTAATTTTCCTAGTATCATTGTATGTCAAAGATAGAGACATAATATGTACTCATAATGAAATATGAGAAATCTTAGATACTTGAAATTTGTAATTGAGATGAAGGATCTCGGGAAAATTGAGTCTGTTTTGAAATTAAACACCGCGTTGGTTGAATACTAATTCACCAGTTGCATATATCCAAAAGGGTTCTCAGGCAAAATTAACATGGACATATACAAACTGTTAGCACTCTCATGATCGGTGGAAATATGAATACTAGAAAAGATCCATTACTGAAAAGTTATTGGGAGAAGAAATTCCCTATGTAAGTGCAATATGCGCATGATTGTACTTTGACAAACACATTCGACCAAATATTACATTCTCAATAACGGGTTAGCTAAAATTAGTTCAGGACCAACACATCGTATATCGACATTGGAATGGTATCAAGAATGTACTTTGATATCTATATGAAACCATGAGTGTAATCTTTATTCATCCCATACAAATTGAATTAAATGATTGATGATAACAATATTCATTAAGGAATTGAAAATATAAAAAGTATTACTCTAACACAAAGTAACATGATTTGAGTTTTACCGATGATGAGTATCCCCTTACCTCATTGATATATTTTAATGAGTATATATTTATCATGAAAGAAACCATGATGATATGTATAAAATACTTTGATAAAGTATATATCAAGATTCTTATTGATGTGTTTCACTCAGGGAGAGTCCTTACATACTTATTTATCATCAAGTATATTAGTGTGTTGTACTCTTTTTCCCTTTTGACCAAGGTTTAGTTTTTTCCCATTGGGTTTTATTACTTGGTAAGGTTTTTAATGAGGCAACATAATATTCACCATCCCACATTTTAATTTTGCGAAAGTAAAACAATGTTGAAGAAAGAACATAATTATTGTATCGCAGTCTTAAGTAATTGACGCATAGTTATTAGTGCAACATACTTCCTTTTCACTTTGGTCGATGTTTATTTTTTCCCATTGAGTTTTATTCATTGGCAACGTCTTAGCAAGTTAATAATTTGGGAAAATTCCCTACGATCGACACACAGGGGGAGAATTAAAGGAATCATATTCCTCTATTGTGTATCTTCGCTAAGGTAATTAATGTGCCAAATACTGAAATTCACATATGTTACAAACACCCTTGATTAATGTAAAAATTAAGGGTAGATGTAGACTTTAGGATGAGTACCCCAACTAGATTACGTTACACTTTCCCCTTACCCAAGTTTTATTTTTCCCACTGGGTTTTGTTAGTAGGCAAAGTTTTTAATGAGGTAACGATACATATAAACTTAAATGATCAAAGCACATACCCCCCCCGTCCCATAAAATCCTTCCCACTTTCCTTTTTGGGCCATCCCAAAAAATTCTTCTCACTTAACATTTTTGGACAATTTGTGTGGTTCACATTCATTTCACTTTTTTCTTACACAACCACAGTCATACATTTCTACTTTCTTAATCTCCGTGCCAAATCAAAGTGGGAAGAATTTTATAGGACGGAGGTAGTATCAAATAAAGATAGACTTAATGGAAGAAGCCTATCTTGATGCTAGACCTGTACAAAAACGGGTTCGGGCCGGGCTTTTTATAAATTTTTTACCCATCATGTGTGGGAGGGCCCGGCCCGGCCCGCAAAAACGGGCCTAACCCTATGTCCATACCCGCCCATAAGAGCGGGCCGGGTAGTCCACCGGGCTGCCTTGTCCGGGAAAACTTTATTTTTTTCAAAATTATATGATTTTTAAATACTTTAAAAATAATATTACAACATTTAAAAAATAATTAATACGCTTATACTGTTTATACGTCTTTCACCACATACAAAAAGTACTTACACAAAAATAATAATGAGAAACTATATCTAAAATTTAAAATTTAAGCATAAAGTATTATCTTTAAGTACAAAAATAGATATTATATTGGTTGGGCTAGTTGTTAAGAACTAAAAATTTAAATTTAAACATAATAAACTATAAACATGTATAAAGAAAAATTAGTAAATATAAATATACATGTGTATGTGCAAATAAATAAATAAATAAATTAGTATATATATATATATAAATATATATTTATATATACTAAATGGTAGCGGGCCGGACTTATCGGCCTGAATGGGCCTACACCCTAACCTAAGCCCGCCCATATCTTATTGCGAGCCAGACTCGAGCTGGCCCGGTGGGTAAATATATATGCGCTAGCCCGCCCAATTGTGCGGGCGAGCTGGGCGGGCCGGGAGAGCTGGGCGGGCCGGGCGAGTTGGCCCGATTTTGTCCAGGTGTACTTTATGCTATACTCCTTTTTCTCTCCTGTCAAGGTTATTTTTTCCCACAGCGTTTTTGTTACTTGACAGAGTTCTGAAGAGGCAATAAGACAAATACAATATTCTATCTACAACTCAGCACAAAGGGGAGTGTTGAAGGAAATTCTATGTTGTGTGTTATCATTTAGATAGAATATGTATTAGGAGCTTTCTATGTAAATTATGTATTATGGGCCTATTGGCCAATACCTGTAAACCCTACTCTATCTCTATTTATAGGGACTTTTGGTAATGAAACTCTACGAATCATTCTCAGTGCAACAATACTCAATACTACCTCCGTCCCATAATTTACTTCCAAAATAAAGTGACACGCGAATTAAGAAAGTGGGAATTGTATGGTGGAGAGTTGTGCAGAGGAGAAAGAAATGTTGTGAATCACAAATTCTTTGCCAAAAAAGGAAAGGAAAGTTCTTTTTGGGACGGACGAAAAGAGAAAGTTGGAAGTATTTTCAGGGAGGGAATATGTTTCAGTAATATTGGGATTTTTTCCCCAATAATTTTTTATTCAGCATTAATTTGGGTAAAACTCCGGTATTACGAATTTGAATGTCAGGTAGTTTTTTTGGAAAAGACTAATGAATTGAGATGATAGATAAAGATAATTTTGGGTTGATAAAAGTGTTTCGCAATTATGGGGCGAGAATTGCAGCCACGTAAGCTGCACAACGGATGTGGGTCGCGAATTGCCTATCTGCTGGCCTCACCCACCTAAACGGCTTGGCTGCTCAGCATTCAATTCCCGGAAACACAAATGGCGGCCCTGCAAGCGCCACCTTCCCTTGTTCACGCCAAGCGCGGTGGCGATGCTGGCGGTTTCCGGAGAGCGCCGACGGGAAGCTGGATGTCCCCGTCATCTTCGCTGCATCTCTTGCCCTTTTCTTCTTCTCCAGGTAATAAGCACAGTGCTTCATATGTGGCGAAGGCCCCAAAGATCATCTCCATGCGCGTGGCGGCGGCGGCTTCTAAACAAGCTTACATCTGTCGCGATTGCGGGTAACCCTTCCCTTTCATTTAATTTCACTCTGTGGATTCATTTCACTATTGTATTAATTAATCGATCCGAGTGAAAATATGATGGGTGGATGGAGGTGTGCAGCTACATTTACAATGCCAAGACTCCTTTTGAGAAATTGCCTGATGCCTACTTCTGCCCTGGTACCTACACTTTCACATCTTTCCCAAACAAAATATTAATTTATTACTCTCAAAAAAAAATTATTTTATTATTTTCTCAAATACATTTGTCATTGTTTTCTATCAGCCCGTTTGCTATTTTTTGAATCGACCAGTTGGTGATATTCTGTGTGAAGTAAGAAGTACTACTAGGTTTATAAAAATTAGCTAATTTCAATCAAGAAAGTAATTTCAACCTAACACTTACAAAAAATTAGAAATAAAAAATTATATGTTTGGTAACCAAATTAGTTGAAAAGCTGATAAACCAAAAATATGCCTTACCAAACAAGATCTAAATAGTACATTCACTCCTATTTTGATTTTGTTATTGTTTTATCACTCTATGAAATAATGACAAAAATATGATTAAACTAAGAGCTCGGTTGTTAGATGTAAGGACTGATTCTGCTGAAATTGATGAAGTCGTGATTGAAGTGGCTAAATTTGTTGAGTTATGGTCTTATGGACAATTGTTTATTTAAAATATATTTTATTAATAAAATAAAGTAAAAATTATATGAAAATAGCTAAAATGGTCATCTACAATAACTTCTGCTATAAAAGTAACCCTAATTTTATTTATTTTGATTATTAGATAATTTGATGTGCGAAATGAAAAATTGCGTTTTTGGTAAAAGAAATGAGTAATAAGGCGATTGTATTGGCCTACTTTTCGAGTTCCATTGCTTACACGCCCTCATCATTCTTCTTCCACTTGGCGACTTGCCCCAAACTTTGAGCATGAATTTTGGAGGAAAAACAATTATTACTTCACTAATTTATTACGTAAAGACAAAGATAAAAATAAGTAAATTGACTACATGCGAGGAAAAACGCCATCAAATTAAAATTCCAACAGCTTTAGTTTATTTGATTGGTTTATAGTTTTTTTTGAACGTTTGATTGGTTTATAGTTATAAAATCTTTAATTAAATCTTTATTTGATTGATTTTTCTCGGATGTTTTTACTTGGACTGGAATTTGTTGGTCTGACCTGGTAAATATCTAGTTTTTGTGTATTTTATAACTATCCAAATTTGGTGATGTCTGAAACTGAAAAACATTTCAAGTAAAAACATCCTAAAGAGAAAAATCCATAATTAGGAGGTAATATCACAAAATTGTAGAAACCATTTTGTGCAAGAATATTGGATCAAGAAGTTATTACATCTTTATTTCCTAAAATATATTTTTTTACATATATAAAAACACAAATAGAACACGTGAGAGAAAAGATTTGTCAACGAGAGAAAATTTATTACTAAGTAGTAAGTATGAGATCTGAGTGTTATCTTTTGGAGTCAAAATCTATAGTCATATTTAAATAAAGCTATAGTCACTTTATGCGTTACCAAATCTAAATAAACGTAATTTCGGCAACAAAGCTGAAATTTTGGAGTCAAAATCTATAGCCACTTGGTTATCTTTTTGTTATATAAAGATAAATATGTCATTTCACGTGACAGATCATAAAAAGACAAGTAACTTTGGAGAGATTGATAATTAGTGGAGTGCATCGCAATAAACTTGTGTTCCTTCAAAAAGATTGTTTTTAAATATGATAAATCTATTAAGTTGTTTTGCAAAACGGCACTTACTAGCCTAAATTGAATGCAGTATGTGGTGCTCCTAAGAGAAGATTTAGAGCATATGAACCGGCAGTGGCCAAAAATGCCAATGACACCGCCGTCAGGAAGGCCAGGAAAGAACAATTGAAAAAAGATGGGTAAATAATCTTTTATTCTCTTTTCAATTGCTTATCCTAAGAATGTAGTCCATTGTCTGGATCCCTGAGTGTTAGGAATGGGCCTATTTTTAGAAATAATAATAAGTGGGCCTATTATTGTAGATAATAATAAGTGGGCTTGTAATAGAAATAGAAGTACTATAAATAGTAAGGAAGGGGGGAAAGGATAGGTAGGCAAATATTCAGTTGAGAATAGGCTGGGAGATTGGGCATCTCGAATTGTCCTGGGCTTTGTATACGTTCCATACTCTTCTTCTACATCAATAAAATCTTCTTGATCTCTTTCTTGATAATTTCTTGATCGGATTTTCAGAGTTCTAACATTGGTATCAGAGCACTCTCCTGGCGTCTTCATTGATCGTCACATCTCCGTAGCGGAAGAGGACACTTAGTGATTCGCGAAGACACGAACGAACGATCGCTGAGCAGAGCAGAGAACAGCGACGAACAGAACTGGAGGCCTTTGGTTCGCACGGACATCTGGAGAAGCATTCGAACCTGGAGATGAAATCCGCTATGAAATCCGCGATGAAGAACATCGCTGCATCCAGGGCGGCGTTAAATGAACAACTTCAAACCTGGAGAAAATCAGAAGGGGCAGAAGGTAATTCCGATCAGTGTCGCTCCAGATTCTCTAGTTTGGGTCGCGATAGCAGTAGAAGACCTGTTCAGACGGGAAGAAAGGTAGATTTACCTTTGTTTAACGGTGAAGGAGCCTATAACTGGATTATACAAATAGAGAGGTATTTTCGGTTAAATGACATTGAAGAAGAGGAAGAGAAGGTTGAAGCTTCTAGGGTTGCTATGGAAGATAGGGCTTTGAACTGGTTTCATTCGTGGGAGTACCGGACTGAAGAAACTAACTGGGACACACTGAAGAAATCTATCATTCGTAGATTTCAACCTGAGTTGAATTCTTCTCACAGTTCGAAATCACGGACTTCAACATCCGCCAGCGGTTCACGACCAAGTAAAACTCTATCGAGAGAGGCTTCCCGTTCACAGATGTCATCCCAAACCGCTTCAGCGCCTTCACGAACAGTTTTGCTTAATTTGCAGACCTCATCTCTGGTGCAGTCGCGGACAGTGTCTACCAGTTCGCAGGTCTCAGTTCACAGAGCTCAGTGCGCGACTCATCTCAGTTCGCAGGACTCACCGCAGGTTTCATCGCATATTTCTGCTTCTCACAGTCCGCAAGTGGAGTCAGTTTCATTCCCGCAGCAGTCGGTGAGTCAGCTACAACCTAACTCTGTTGATACACTCATCATTGGTGATGAGGAACCAGGGGAGAGAACTTCTGTGGTGATTCAGTCCATTGCCATGGAAACTGAGAAAATAGAAGAGGATGAATCAAAGTCTGAGAAAAAGGACAAAATTGAGATACCAAATCAAATTAGATCCTCTGCAGGGTTTGTTAGTTTGAGCTATGATCAAGGTTATTATTTTGAGCATCTGAAAGTTGATGACAAGGTTGTTGTTGAAAAGCGAATGCACCGTTCTCCTGTCACCGAAGAAGAATTTGAGGCCCATGGGTGTTCTGGGGTGGATTATAAACACTTATTTGGTGGGGTGGTGATGTATTGGAATCCTTCTGAAATGTCTGGGACCAGTTTTTTGCGCCCTCCTTCACTTAGTTCAGATGATAGTAAATGGGCATGGCGAGTGGCAGATATGAACAGGGTTGTTGATGACAGAGTTGACCTTGTTCCCTCTCACAGTATTTCTTTTTGCTCTTCCTTTGATCTTTTTGGCTCAGAAATTAGTGAATATGTTATATCTGGAAGTAAAGTTCATACTGGCAAGGTTGCACAGACAACTTGTGTGCAACAGCATCCAGATATTTTACTTCGGATACAACCAATTGAAATGCTGGAAACACAGATGCTGGAAGATGCAAACTTTTGCAACATAAGAGAACATTTTGCCTCCAGGACCTTGTTACTACTCTTTGCAGAGAAGAACATGAAGATGCAGCTTCAAGTACTGAAGCTAAAGATCCAGAATGCAATGTTGTATTGGGAAGGAAGAGGTGCTAGAATGAAGTGCAAGTGGGAGATCATGGTTGATTCCTATCACCCACCTTGAGGACAAGGTGGTTGTTTAGGGGGGGAGTATTGTTAGGAATGGGCCTATTTTTAGAAATAATAATAAGTGGGCCTATTATTGTAGATAATAATAAGTGGGCTTGTAATAGAAATAGAAGTACTATAAATAGTAAGGAAGGGGGGAAAGGATAGGTAGGCAAATATTCAGTTGAGAATAGGCTGGGAGATTGGGCATCTCGAATTGTCCTGGGCTTTGTATACGTTCCATACTCTTCTTCTACATCAATAAAATCTTCTTGATCTCTTTCTTGATAATTTCTTGATCGGATTTTCAGAGTTCTAACACTGAGAAGGCTTAACAAATGAAAAAGAAAAGCTGAATGCGCTCGGAAGAGAGACCATTGCCCAATATTCAGCTTCACCGAGAAACAATGACTTGCATTTTTGTACGCCGAGAAATAGTAGACCGCCCAAGTGTGGCAAAATATCTGATTATGGAACGGCGAGTGAGTAGAAAACTAGCTCAATCAGAGTTATAGAAATTTGTTAAAATGAGTGGTGAATCGCTACGAAGAAGAATCCCTTGACTAGGATGTCCTTTTGAGTAATGAAGAACTCGAACCACAACGTCCCAATGAGGTTGGAGAGGATGCTACATGAACTGTGTGAGGATGTGAACAAAATAACATAGTTCAAACAAATGAGTTTGAGGATAATGTGTTTCCTGATCAAGCGTCAATAATGGTCAGGGTCGATATAGTTTGAACCATTATCTGATTGTAAGCTATGGTTCTAGACCATGGGGAAAATCAATGGGTTTAACACCAAGAAGTCCTGTTTCAGTAAAAGACCCCACACATATTTTTCCATTGGGAAAGAAAGATCCCTATGGAAGTATGGAGTTTCGTGCAACTTCCATACTGAGGAAATTTTGCATTTTACCCAAATCTTGAACGGGAAAGGATCATGCTAAAATAGAATTTAAACTCGTTAACCAAAGCAACATTAGTACAACAAGTCATTGACATAAATAAGGATACCCAAAATATTACCATCGCGGTAGAGTGTAAAGAGCAAACAGTAGGGTTAGGATTGCCAAAAGCCATAAGGTTTAAGTGCTTCTGTCAACTTGGAGAATTAGCAACAGGGTGCTTGGCGGTACTTGTAAAGAGACCCTAATAGATGGCACACTTGCCTAGGTTGCAAAGAAGTATACTCGAGGGGGAGGTACATACATACTTCTTCCCAGGGCACTATGGAATAATGCATTATCAATGTCTATTTGATGAAGAACAGTTCTGAGAGGTGGCCATGGCTAAAATAGTACGCACCGTGACCATTTAGGACATATGAGCAAAAGTAGTGTTGTAGTCCATCCGTTCAATTTGGCGATTACCACGCCACCAGTGGAGCTTTGTAGCGTTCTACAAACTCATCAGTCCTGAACTTGATCTTGCAGACCCATTTACAACAAATGGGTTTCAGCGCTCTAGAGCTTCTATCTAGAGAATTGTGTGAGAGAATTGTGCAAAGCTTAATGCTACACATAAAATTGATTATAATTTATATAATGAGCTAAAGAATATGAACTACCTGAAGAGGCCATCAGAGGAGTGACAATAAGGGGAGTTCATGCATATAGAATACGGAGTATATGGCATTAAATGTAGTCAGTGTGCCAAGATACACGACCACGATGTCGCTCACTACAACATGGAACCAAATTGGTTGGAGGAGATACAAAGATGGAATCAGAGGCTTCAAACTACATGGAGTCAAATCGGTCAGTCTGCTTGGACTGCATGGGGGCAGAGTCTTTAGTTTTATTAGGCTTCCTAGGATGAGAGTTTTCAGTTTACATGGAGTCAGAAGTTTGTATGTGCGTGCATGGACTAGACGGACTGGGTGTTGTCATTAGGCTGCATTAGGGATGGATTCGGGCCGGGTCGGGGCCGGGCCTAGGCCCGGTCGGGCCGCCGGTTCAAGAATAGTGGGCCCGGGACCGGCCCGAGGGTTGGACGGGTCCGGTTCGGGCCGGGCCACCCGCCCGGGTCACGGGTCAGGTCCGGTTCGGGCCGGGCCGGTTAAATTTTTTTTTTTAATTTATATTTTATAGTTTATAGTTTTATACGAGTATTAAAAACAAACTTCAATTGCATTTATTTGAAATGAAATAGGAACTACATTTGAAAATTAAAACAAACTTTAAGAGATAAACATTTTGAAAATTGTAATCAATCGGAACTTCCCGCACCTCCTGATCCTTTGGCTTTGTCACATGACTTCATATGCTTGATTGCCATCCCGAATCCGCCTGAAGCCCCCATGTTACATTTTTTCTCGCACTATTTGCAAATTGCGTACCACATCCCGGTCTTCGGGTCCTTCTGCTTATCAAAATTATACCGTATAATGGCATCTTGATTTTCCATCTTAACTTCTTAAGTATAAACTATAAAGTAGATATATAAATAATAAATATAATATATTGGAGAATAAGAGAATTAGAGAGTAGAGAGTTAAGAATAGGCATTAGGAAGAATTGGAGAAGAGATATGAAAAAATGTTTAAGATTAAGAGTATTTATAGGTTTTTTTACCCCCCACCCCCCACCCCCCCCACCAGCCAACCCCCCGGACCCCCCCTTTACCCCACCCAACGGCTATATAGCCGTTTGGGTTGTCCCCAGCCCCACCCCCAAGGCCCCAACGGCTAGTAGCCAAACCAAACAAAAAAAAGTTTTTTTTTTAAAAATAGACCCGGACCCGGGCCCGACCCGGCCGGGCCGGGTCACAAAAATCCAGAACCGAGCCCGCCCCCCGCCCCTTCCCATCGGTTCGGGTCCATACCCGGTCCCGGACCGCCCGACCGGGCCGGTCCCGGGCCCGCACAGTACCGGGCCGGGTGGCCCGAACCGAATCCATCCCTAGGCTGCATGGAGGATATGAGATCGTGAGAGAACACATATACAGTCCATATTGTCCTGTTGATCGAGAGGGGAAGTAGACAAGATGCAGGAAAATAGTATCATCCCTTACATCACAGTGGATCATCTCAAACGATTCAAGAACACAATAAAGCAGATATGCATCTTACAACATATCCAATGCAAAAGTGTCAATGGTGCACTCGTGGCAGAAGAGATATAGACAAAATAAATAATAGAAAGTTTTTCACTTTCTTTCTATGCCATAATAAATTTTGGTTACTTTTTATTCACAATGTCAAGCAAAATGTCAAGATCTAGTGAGTGTCCTTGATATTGTGAATAAAAAATAATTGCAAATTTACTACAACGTAGAAAGAATGTGAGTGACTTTCCATTAATTAAGTTTTTGCGTCTATATCTCTCCTACCTCGCGTGCACTATTGACACAATATTTGTATGGAATATTTATGGCTACAAACTAATCTTGGAATCAAGCTAAATGTATGTTTACGTAGTCTAACATATGTAGATACTTTCTTATGTTTTGCTTTACAAAGAATGATGCAAATAAGAATGAAATGCAATTGTTTCCACTCAAAATTACATATGTTTTGATTTTGCCTTTAGTATATGATATAATGATAATATTAGGATTAAATAAAATGCGTATGAAATAGTTTAAATTGAATTTATTGAGTTATGATATATCTTGTACTTTACTTGTATAGTTTCAAACTTTGCTGAATATTTATCATTGTTATCGACCTTAATATATCATATAATGAAGGAAAAACCTTGTCATATATTGATGCAGCCTAGCATTGCCCGCTGTGATCTTCATTGGAGTAGCTGCACTTGCTGGTTTATATTTTTACCTGAACAATAACTTCTAGGACTGTGGCTGATAAATGTAATTTCGACAAGAACTTACTTGGACTATATTAATTATATTTAATTAAGGTTTCAGTCTCAATGTGCTCCTGTATTCATTTGTTATTAATTGGCTTCTACCTTTACGCCGGACAAGAGTTCAAAATAAGGCTCCGTTTGGTTATACTTTTTGACTCGTTCCACTCAGTTTATAAGAGTTCAGATAACTGAGATGAAGATCCACTTGGTAATTGGTACGCAACTTCGCGGAGTTTTATATGAGGAAGGTGTACTACTGTGTACTGTATATACATTGTGATATTTTTCTAATCTGTTGACTTTTAAAAACAATAATGACTTCTTTAATAAGTAGATCTTTAGGAATGGATTTTGTTGATTTATATAAAGGAAAAATTGAAAATAATAATCTCAACTATTACCGATCCGCTAACAATGATTATTTTTGTATAATCCCAACTATATGGACCGTCCGCCAATAATGATCCATGATCGTATATTACCTGCTCTAACAAGTGAATTTTAAATATAAATTAAGTGTAAAAATTAAAATTTGGGATTATTTATAGGGATTACCTGCTCTATCTCTTTAGAAACTATAGAAATTTATTAGTAGTCGGTCATGTCGGATCATTATTGGTGGAGGGTCTCTAAAGTTGGGATTATTCTGAAATAATCGATAGTTGGGATTATTATGAGCGGACCGCCAATAGTTGGGATTATTACAATCAATTTTTCCTTATATAAATCAATTAATTTCATGTGAATGACATTTATCTATTTTATATAAAATAAAAGTCTAAACAAGAATCATACGTAGTAGTGGTGGACTCGGGCCGGGTGGCCGACCCAGAACCGGCCCGGGACCGGCACTGTTCCGGCCCGAACCGGTGGCCCGGTCAGTGACCGGTCTGGGTAGGCTCGACCTGAGGGGTTTCCGGTCCAGGCTCGGGTCACCCAAAACAAGGCCCGGCCAGGCCCGGGCCTGGTTTGGGCCAAATTGATTTTTTTGTTTTTAATTTGTTTGGGTTCTGTTTGGGTTGGGCTTGATGTTTAGGAGGGGTTTGGGGGGGTGGGGGTAAGGGATAGGTAGGTAAGCAAAAAAAAATTAACCAAGCCTGAGGCCCGGCCCGGACCGGACCAGACCCAGTGGCTACCCGGGCTGGCTCCGGGTCCACCTATTCAGACCCGTCGGCCCACCCGGGCCAAGGCCCGACCCGGACCCAGCCCGACCCGAATCCACCCCTGATACGTAGTACTATTTAACATTCCTAAGTTTAAACATCATAGCAAGTATATGAGTATATGATCGCACAAAATGACAAAAATAACAAAAAACTCAATTGAAAGAAATTTAGAAATGTGATTCATATAGTAATGCACAATTTTGCATGAATGATCATTGATGGTACCATGGAATCCGACCATGGCTCAATTGCGTGAGTCCGGCCCATAAACGAGATTAACCTTTAACGGGATTAATGATAGATAACCACTGGGCCTAACTAGGAACCAAGCTCGCGAGAAGAACCCACAGTCAGGCCAGGATGGAAAGCATGCCTCGAGCCTGGGCGGAGTTCTAGTGAGGCTGGGAAATTCCTAGGGCCGACGTGGCACGCTATCAGTGGAAACGGCAGCTGGCAGAAGTTAAACGGCTGGAACGTGGGATAAAGGAACAATCATTACACAACGGCCGAGATGTTACAAGAGTCTTATTCGAGCTAATGCATCATTAATAGCATTTATTGTATCAGTTTCCTTTTGTAACACTAGTTCCTTAGCCTATAAATACAACTTGTAAACATCCAAAAGGGGGGGGGGGAGAGACCTTAGCTTGATCAATAAAACACCGCCTTACGCTGCCAAATTATCATCTGCTTCGTAGATTTAGCTCTTGTTGTTGGATTAAACTCCATCATTTGTTGCTCTCGTTGAGAGCTCGATCTGCGATGAACCATGGTGGGATCTCGTAGTCACAACCGTGGAGGCAGCAATCTGGGCGGTTATCGTCACGATCAAGTAGTGATCAAAGATGAAGGCTCCCGGTCACGACGGAGTGACTTTCGAAGGCGTAACGACAACACGGCGGGATTGGAGGACCTGAGAAACCGCCTCCAAGGCGTTGAGAGTTCTAGGCGGGCGGCAACACGACCACCGCAGTTTCAGACGCCTGGCACTGGGAACTGTATTCCCAATATCGATCCGGCTCAAGCCCTAGCCAGTTTGAAAACATTCCAAAGGGCGGTGGAAACCCTGACCACCGCTTTCCAAGGCATCATCCCTAATGAGGGTGCGAGATCCCCTTCACCTCGCCGGGCTCCGTCAGTATCCCGACAGGAGGAGGGGCACGAGCATTCCAGGAGGGGCTCTCCGCCATCCCGATCCCAACGTTCCCGTCGTTCCAGGAAAACTCCGAGGACCTCGGTGATGGACCAGATTGGTGGACAAAGGGTCTCCGCGCATGACCCGATCTCATCCCGACCTGAGCCGAGCATGGAGGCGTCATCCGCGGCTGTTTCATCCCACCGCCGCAATGTGCGTGGCGGAGATCTTAGAGATGAGATCAACGCCAGCCGGCAGGGCCGCAGGCATCGACGATCCCCACCTCAGCAGCAGGCGGGCCAAGGCAATGAAGATCTCTGTAGGAGGCTAGACGAGCTCCGAAGGGAAGTGGACGCAAGGATTAATCCCAACCATGAGGTGAGGATTCCTGAACCGTTTGTTCGTCACATTATGGATGCTCCGCTACCCCAAGGATACAAACCTTGCAATATAGAGGCATACCGATGGAAGACAGACCCACAACACCATGTTTCCAGATACATGGCGTATATGGTTATGATGGAGTATGAAGATGCCATCAAGTGCAGGGGATTCTCGGTAACGCTTGACGGACCGGTCCAAGAGTGGTATGATTCCCTACCTAATGGGAGGTTTCGGAACTTTAGGGAGTTGGCCCATGCTTTTGTGACTCGGTTCGCTAGCTCTAAGGATTCCAAGAAGAATTTTTCTCATCTCTTGGGGATCAGACAGGGATCCCAGGAAAGCTTGGCTGATTTCTTGACCCGGTGGAGGGACGAATCCGTGAAGGTGAACGACCTGGATGACAAGTCCACAGTCGCCATACTAACCAACGCTCTGAGATCGGGCGAGTTGTACAAGGATTTTTTCCGGAACCCTCCGGCCTCACACGAGGAGGCCTTGCAGCGAGCAAATGTGCAAGCCGGAGTAGAAGAAGCTGAGAGAAGAAAGAGAGACGAAGAGGTCAGAAAGCGTCAACCTGAGGGCGAAAAGAAGAAGACCCTTGAGAAGGAAACCCGTGACTCCGACAAGAGGAATGGGTTCAGAAAGAAGAAGAAGTGTCACGCCCCGGACCTTGCCGGACACGTCAACAACCCGCCGTACAGTACGAATAGTCAACCGCAGTCCAACTCATCCATACTATACGAGGCGTCATGAATATCATTCACACTTAGTACATCCATAAACAAACATAATGTAAAACATGCATTTAGAATAGCGGAAGCATTAGTACAATTGTTCAAGCCACACTTGGCATAGCTAGGCATACAAGCCCCCAAAGTAATTATTCAGAAAATAGTATCCATGAGCATTGTTATAATTATTTTGAAAACAGGAAACAGAAGAAGCACGAGCCACGTCTTCTCCCTTTAATGTCCCCGAAGCAACGGGCGCCGGTAGCAACCTTCAAGTTCTACCTGAAACTGTGAGGTGGCCTCCCCCGTGAAGGGGAGGTCAGTACTTGGAAATATTTGACAAGTACAATAGCAACTATACTAAGTATAATCAACGTTTTAATTTCCAAGACCCTCAAAATAGGGTGATATCATAATATAAATAACAATTTATATTTCCCACTTATTATCTTAATAATAAGTGAATTTATTTATCTGTCGGCACATGGCCCTTCTTATATGTTCCTTTTCATTTATCATTTGCACAACCCAACCCTTGGGTCTTTTTATTTCTACGGGACTTGCTACCGCTGTCCGAGACCTCATGAGGCTCCCGGTTCGGACTCCAACATCCTGCCCCTGGACTCGTACCCATCATCCCGTAGGAAGGTAAGGCCCTTCGGGGTCCTATCTTATGTGTTACCGCTACTGGAACCTAGTTAGGTCTCCGATTCGGATTCCACCCTAACCCGTGATCACGATGTAAGTCCATGCTATCCAACCCTGCTCTCTAGAGTCGGGAAGGGCCATGGTCCTTACTATTTCCATAATTCGACCGGCTATCCACAAGGACTACCGAACACACCCGTAAGCCAATCCTATACTTAGGATCAATTTAATATTTGCATTAACTTGGGTATCCCTTAAGGCCTACCCCTAGTATAACTTAAAGTTCATACTTTCCTACCTTAAAGCATCTCTTAAGACTACTTAAGGCATAACGTTTCACAATCCAACCTTAGGATCAATTTTTAACAACATTTCATTTTAATGTCCAACTAGTATCTTAATACTAGTCAAATTAATATCAATAAACCAAGTTCTCAACTCATAGTCATATAGACAATTCCAACTGATTTTCCTTTGAAAAATATCATTTATCTCAATATTCAAAATATCACTTTTAATCACTCATATATCCTAATATGAAGAAAAAGTATATTTCAACATATGTTTCATAATAAATTCCACTTTCAAGTCAACATACTCATAACACATGAACATACACAATTTACTCTTAAATTTGTATATCATGCTCCCTTTTTCTTTAGACATTTAGTCTTGTCATTTTTTGGCATTATTAATCATTAATAATCCATAAAAATACTTTTAATTGCCTTCGGTAATCTCATGAAATCAACTCATTAATTATAAGCAATATAGTCAGCCATCCTCACCTTATGATGTGCTGAAATAGTTGCCTTTGTTGAGCTCCCCGATTAATCCTCGTTTTAAACCGATAAATAGGCAAAGCTGGGCTGCCTGGGCCAAAGCCGGGCGGCTTTCACGAAAGCCGGGCGGCTTTCGTGTTCTGCAGAAACGAGCAGCTCCCTTAAAGTGGCGGTTTCCGACGATTTCGACTCCTATCGATTCACCAACTCTTCTAAGTTAAATATCACCAATTTATATAAATATTCTACACTTTTAAACGTGTAGAACATCATGTTTAATCCACCATATGATTTCTTAACAATCATACACCATAAAACTAGTTAAAAGAAGATAGTTGAGTTCTTACCTTCTTCCTAGCTAGTTTTCTACTGGAGTTTGCTTGCCTCTTACTTCCTCCAAGCTTGAACTTGATGAGGAGTTGCTGGATCTTCTCCTTTCCTTTGGGTTTGCCGGATGGTTTCAAGT